TGGTTTAAGAAAGTGTTTGGCAAGGTAGGCGATATGTTTACGGATCATGATAGAAGGGCGAAGTTTCATAGGGTGGGTATGCCGGGGAGAAGTAGGGGGATTTGTATTTGAATTGTATTAGGTGAGATCAACTGTAAGGGGAATGGGAGGCATGGTAGTGGGTGAGGTGGAGGAATGAATCAGAGAGAGGATGTCTAGTTGGTGAGGAATGGTTAGGGGAGAGATCAGAGGGAAGGGATACATATGGGGGGTAAGTGTAGGGGAGTTACTTGTGTGAATTGTTAACCAAGGAGAGGAAGCATCTGCAGCACCTAGAGAGGTGGAAGGAATAGAGGATGAAGAGATTTTAAATGAAAAGACTATTTCATTAAATTTAACATAGCGACATATATATAGACGATTGGATGAAGGATCAAGACAACAGAAACTAGAATCGGAGGGGGAATTGCCTAAGTAAACACAAAGACTGGACCTATATGAAAACTTATGACAATTATATAGTCTGAGGAGAGGAAAGATGAGACACGTGAAGATTTTTAGGTTTTGGTAAAGAGGAGCAAAACCAAAAAGCATGGTGAATGGACAGGAATCATTTAACACATTGATAGGTAGTATATAGATTAAAGAAACTGCAGTCTCAAATGCAAATTTCCAAAATCGAAGGGCAAAATTTGAGTCACCAAGGAGAGTGAGACCCATATCAGTAATATGACCAAATTTTCTTTCTGATAAACCGTTGTGTTCATGCGTATGAGGACAAGCTAAACGATGAGTGATTCCCTTTATTTTACAGAATTGGTTTACCTTTTGATATTCACCCCTAAAGTCTAATTGTAGTGATTGAATTTTGGAATTGAATTGATATTCAACATAGGCATTGAACTCAAAAATTTTTGATAAAAGCTCACTTTTATTTTTTAAAAAGTACATCCACGTATAATGTGTAAAATCATCAACGAAAATGGCAAAATACCTATAATCTTGACTCGAAAGAGATGGTGTCGGACCCCATACATCGGAATAGATTAACTCAAAGGGCACCAGACTCTTGTGGACAATGGAATGTAAAGTTAAACAAGATAATTTTTTTTATAGGATAAGACTGACTAGAGTTGGAAGTGGAGAAGTGAGAACTTGGTAGCTTGTGAGACTTGAGGATAGAGGAGACAATACTATGATGAGGATGACTAAGCCAGGAGTGTCAATCAATGAAGGTGGAAGTGATGCTGACATATGCTTGCTTCCTTGGTGGTTGCAGTTCATAAATACCATTATTACTGGGTCTGTAGAGAAGAACTTTCTTGGTTACCTGATCCTTAACAAGAAAATGTGAGGGCTAAAACTCGAAGAAACAATTGTTATCATGTGTAAATTTTTGAAGGACAGTAGAGATTGTGTAATTTTGGGTACATGGAGAACATTTTTGAGGTAAAAGGCATGGGAAAAAGAGTAGTAAGTAGCAAAATTAGAGTGAGCAATTTGCATATCTTGGCCATTACCAAGTTTGAGCTGATTATCACCATTATAATTATTGGCAATATGGAGGAAAGTAATGTCCAGAGTTATATGGTGGGAGGCTGCTGTGTCTGAATTCCACGACAGATACTGAGCACCTTGGTATGGTTGGGGGTTGTGATGGGGAATGCTTGAAATTAATCCAGGATTACCATAAGTGCAGTGGGCTTGTGCTAAAGCAGGATGTCGTGGATGATACCTTTTTCAACATCTATCAGCAGTGTGATTTCGGTAGCCGCAAATCCGGCACGGTCCCATCCGTTTGGATTGAACAGACATGTTGTAGTTAAAGGACGATTGAGATGGTTCTTTATCAACTTTGTGAGAGCTGGCGGTGTAAACAATATTGGCAATCGGTGCGTCCTAAGTGCTTTTTATTATAATTTTGTGAGCAAGTAGCTGCCCATAAAGCTCATGGAATGATATTGGTTCAGGTTTCATATTAAGTGCAGTGATGATTCCATGAAATTCCTGAAATAATCGCGTTGAACTCTGCTTGAACTTTGCAGAAGAAAGTTGACGACTAGTGGATGCAAGTTTATCAGCCAAGGCTTGAGCTTTGTAGAGAAACTGTGAAATTGATAGGTCATTCCGCTTTAGGTCCTGCAGCTCAATATATAATTGAAGTTGGCAGTTCTGAGATACAGAGTCGAATGCAGTTGCTAAGGCATTCCAAACAAAAAATGAGGAAGTGAGACCAATAATGTATAAAAAAATTTCTTTTGATAAGGAAGATAGAAGCCACGAAAGGAGCATTTGATCTTTCTGAAACCATGCAAGATATGTAGGATTATCAGTGGTGGTGGGAGGTTCATTAGTGACTAGCAATTCGAGCAGTGCCGATTCACTTCCATCAACAAGGCCTTTGAGATTTTGATAGTTTAGGATAGGCATGAACTGAGTTTTCTATGCCAAGTAGTTTTTAGGATTTAATTTGATAGATAAGGAATGGTGAGTGGTTATGGGAGTGTTGTTTAAGGAAGCAGAGATGAAGAGTTGATCGGAAGAAGCCATTGTTTTTCTGTGTTCTATGATGGCTCTAATACTATGTTATGAACCCAGAAATAAAGTAGAAATTGTGTTATATTCTCATTGAAGATATTGTTGTTTAAATAGTACATTGTTGGATAATATTGAAGTTAGAAAGTAAGATAAGATAAATATACTTGAGTTATTGAGATAAAGATGAAGTCTGCTGGAGATAGACAATCTGGAGGAGATAACATCGCAAATGTGAGTCAGTACAGATGAGTGTGGTGGGGAGGAAATAACAGATGAAGTTGATCTGGAGATGATTTTGGATGGATATCTTTAAGAACTAGATGTTTTGAAGATGACAAGAAGTTGTAATCTCCAATGGTTGAGGTTCAAGAAACAAATATTTTTGGTCTAAATGAAATATTATTATATTATTTGATAGTACTGAGGATATAATTAGTATTAGAGACAAATTAAATTTTTCTATTTTTGAAATAAAAAATTAATATTTATATTTTTTGTTATTATATTATTAATATAATAATATAATATGTGTATTATAAAATTTAATTTGAAATTGAATTAATTTGTAAAATTATTTTATTAAATAATAATAATTAGAAAAGACAACATATATATATGAGATATATATGTATATAATTGGGTGTTAAAAAGAAAAAGAAAATAAAAAAGGGAGATAATACCAAATTGATTTGAACCTCTACAGGAAGAAGTCAAAAAGGACTTCATGACCACCCATAGTGGCTATATATATATATGAGTGGGGATTGCAAAAATAATTATTAGTGAAGAGGAGAAGAGAAAAAAAGACTAGCCGCACACCAAAAGAGAAAACTTTGAGGGAATTTAAAAAAATTTTAATATAAATATTATTTAATTTATTTATACATTCTGTTGATAAAAAAATTGATTAACAAATGTTAATTTTGGTATAGATACACATATAATATTCATATTTTTAAATAATTTTAATTTAAAAATTAACTGTTAAATATATTTTAAATTTAATTTTTAAAATACAAATATATCAAATAGATTATTTTATAATCCTACATATTATAATTTTTTTAACGATAACTTAATAATTTAAAGAAATAAAAAATAAAATATAATTGCTACATCAATTACATAATTACAGTTTTGAAATATTTTTTTTTCTCAACCGAAATACTTTCATAACATGCAAATAAGCACGCGAACCAGATATCATTTATATTAATCTTAATCATAAACTAAGAATAAATAATACAAATTATCAGATATTAGTTGGGTATCCAACGTAATAATTGTATTACTTGATACAGTAAATGGAGAATGGAAAGTGGCTGAACTTTTGTTGTATTGATCCCTTGAGGCCAAGTTCTATTATTGCAAGTCCTTCCTTAGAAAAGCTTCAAAAGTTGAACAATTCTTTTTCGATATGCGTGCGATTGGAGTGATAAATGCAAACTGACAAAATAGAATCCAAGTAAGATGCAATTAGTACCCAGTTTTGTGTTGCTAAAATACACACAACGAAAAGTGCACATGGATATGATATTCAACGTGCTGTCTCATTTCAAACGGCCAAGTATGCAACCTCACTGCTCTACTTCTTTGTATTATTCATTTATTTATTTTAAAATTAAATATAATATATGTTTCTTTTATATATTATTTTCCATATAAAGTCAGTGTGATTTTAATTTCGTACATATTTTATCATTTACTGTAGTGTATGACCTTTTCATAAGCACTTTTCTCTATGTAGATTTATTAATTTATTTAGTAATTCAAAAGCAAATGACAATTTGAGATATAAAATTAATTAGTATAAGTAATTATATGATATTTATAAAGTCATGTTTAAGGCTCATGATTAATTTTTCTTTTTAAAATAATTAATAGATTT